CCAAAGTTTCGCCCCCTATAGTCAGCGATGGACTCAGCTGACTATGCCAAGACGCCGGTAACCACAGCCACTCGGTCTTGGACGGGTTGAGCCTGAGTCTGTTCCTCCCCATCCAGACTCTCACGGCCTCCAGACACCGGGTCATCACGTCAAGGGCATCGTTGGGGTCGCCCGGGGTGGATATGTACAGCTGAGTGTCATCAGCGTACATATGGAGGGGGAAATCATTCTGCTGCCTAATGCAGTCTGTGCAGCACTTAGGAAATCTCTGGAATTCAAAGATCTTCAAAAGGTAAATTCTTGATGGCTGATGGAATGAGGAGTAAGCCTAAGGTGTATAGGGACCCAGTGGAGAGGGAAAAAGGCCTCCAGGGTGCATGGAATAAGCAGGTGCAAGGGCTATTGATAGGAAACAGAGCATGAGGTATCTCAGGGGATGATGGAGACTCTAGGATACGGGTGTCAAACTCACATCATGTGACGTCTCACGACGTATCGCGTCTCTTTTTGCATTGCCGGGATGGGCACGGCTTCGGTATGATGAAACCGGCCTATGGGCCAACAGTTTGACACCCCTGCCCTAGGAAGTCCAGGGCAGGTGGGCCTGATTCTTCGCTAGGTCTCCCAAGCCTCTTTCACTCCTGACGACCACCTAACAAACTAAATATTGTTTTAATCATTGCATAGGGAAAAGCAAGGAGTGTGGATCATTAAGTGAGACTGTCTTGCTTAATGCCTATCACCACTTACAACTATAATTGGTAGTTTCCATTACAGTCAAAAGTTCTGGACTACCTGTAAAGAACCTTCTGGTTTAAAAAGACCTTTTGAGAACTGGATCATCTTATTCAGCCTGAATCTTGTAAATGTAAAAATGGAGGAAAGAGCATAAAAGACAAGAGATTGAGATGGAAGATTTCCCCACATTATTTTATGGTACTGACAAACTATTTAGAGAAATTGTGAACTTTCAAAAAAACTTCCAGAAAGGTTTTGTCCATTTTTTACATAACTTACACCAGATCCATCCTAGTCCAAATAAAAATGGATTGGTTTTCAGCATATTTATGAAATATAGAATCAAAATAATTACTGAAGGGCATTTATAAGAATTCTAAAAAAAGGTAAAAGTCAAAAGAGACTATTATACTTTAGTTCAAAACAGATATTGCATTTTGAAACTATAAACAAACAAAACATTCTCTCTGCTTAGTTGAACTATTTCTGATCAGCAAATCAGCAAAATATACAGATTATACACATAATATATAACGTATATCAAAACAGAAAATGTAATAGCCTCTTACAATAACTGATATTTTCTCAGGGGAACTGTATTAACTCAGGCTGAGATAATTGGTAAAAAGGTCTACTCAAGTAATATACCATTACAAAGAATTCAGTAAAAATCTTATAGCATTTATTGAAAAATAATTCTAAAATATGCTGCTTTAGGAAAGACTGATGAAAGTTCCAACCAAATTTATTCTAACCTCTAAATCCTGCATTTAAGGCCATATTATATTACATAACATTATATTACATCATGTGCTTTACAATATCTCCAAATTCATATATCTCAGTATTTTCAAAAAAAGATATCATTTATTTGTTATTTTTCTCCTGACCCTTTTGCATACTTTAAAATCTAGAAAACAAACTTCTTGTAAAACACTGAGATAAACAAAACATCTGAAAGTTTTCACGTCTGGAAGTACAATGATGAATTACAAGAAGACCAAATTTATAAATGTTATACAGGTAGTCCTCGACTTATAACCACAATTGAGCCCAAAATTTATTTTGTTAAGTGAGACATTTGTTCAGTGGATTTTATATCATTTTATGACTTTTCTTGCCACAGTTGTTAAATGAATCACTGCACGTGACGTTAGTAACCTGGTTGTTAAGTGAATCTGGATTTCCCAATGACTTTGCTTATCAGGAGATCATAAAAGATGATCACATGACCTGGGGACACTGCGACGGTCATAAATATGAGTCAAATGTCAAGCATCTGAATTTTGATCATGTGAACATGGGGGTGTTACAGTGATCATAAGTCACTTTTTTCAGTGCCGTTGTAACTTTGAATGGTCACTAAAGGAACTGTATAAAGCGTTTTCTTTCTTGCGGAAAAAACAATAATGTTGGAAAATTTGTAATATGCATGACGTGCCCTAATCTGCCATCTGCAGATCTGTAATCTTTGACCACTGCCATCCTACCCAACATACACCATTTTCTTGCTCCCATGGCTGGCTAAGTATGCCCAGCCTAGCCCTTTGTGGGGCAGCTGCTACCCACACAAGGCTTCTTTTTTCAAATCACGCACAGTGGTTTCCTTGCAAAACCTGGGAAAGATGGCATCATATGACCAGAAGCTGTTTTGTAAAAGGTCTGGGCAAGCATGCATTATCAACAGTGGGAGCAAGAAGATGACAAAAGTCAGCTGGAATAATGGGATGTACAGTAGGATTGCTGGAGCCTCGGAATGCAGGATGGCGAAGGCTGTGGCAGTTGTGGATTGTGCTGTGCTGCTGAGGAGATTGGTTTCTTGGGTGCTGTGGATGACTGGGGCTTCCTGCGGTGCTGTGGCTTTGTGCTGTATTATTATGACAACTGGGGCTTCCAGGGAAAGCAGAGGCTTCTTGCTGCAGCTCAGAGGCTTTTTGCAGCCCCAGAGCCATAGTGCACCAAGAAGCCCCTGCAGCATGGTAAAAAGCCCCATAATTGCATAGTTCTGGGGGTATTTGCTGCAAGACAGGGTACAGGGCAGCCAAAAGATAGGGTTGGGTAGGGGACATTGAACAATTATCTACTGTTCCTGTCTCAATTTTTCCTTTGTCCACCTGCTATCTTCATTCCATTTTTTTCTTGGACTGCTCCAATTAAACTTGGAAACCATTCTTTGTCCCGTCTTTTTCTATACTGTAAGATTCCAGGTGTCTGAGAAGTTAGATCTTTTTTGAGAGTTCTACATAATCTTATTTATGTAAGACTTTTTCTTCAATACATATGTCACTATTTATAACTTTTTTGTAAACCTTTGTTCTATTCATAACTCGCTTAATGGTGAAGTGATACTTTTAAGTACTACCATGATCTTTCAGATTGCGCAGAATCACAGCAGGAAGGCTATGAGATTTCCACCCTGTCACTAACGAATCCTCTATTTTCTTAACGTGAGCCCTGAACATGAACGAAGGCGCTTTCAGAAGCAGATCAAGGGGCAGCAAAGCTGAAGAAATAAAAGAAAAAACTGCATGTGAAACTAACACATTTTAAAAATAAGTTTAGAAGAAATTCAAGATGGGAATCCATTCAAAAATAGCGGCAGAAGTAAAATTACCAGGTCTTGGTCTGAATCCTGGAATTCCAGTGTAATCTCTGCAAAAACAGAAAGGGTATTAAGCAAGAATAATTTTTCAAATAATAATTGTCTGAGAAATTTAGCATATAAAATGCAACAATGCCTGGAAAGAAAATCACCTGGGGGTCTTATGTACAATGACTCCAATTTTATCAAAAGTGTACAAAGAATCACACATACATTATCCATCTTCCTTATCATGCAGTATTACTAGAGGCTGCACATCTTTAAAGATTGTCTGAAAAAACTGTTCTAGTCTTTGTGCAATCCTAAGCATAGAACTTCTCTGCTATTCCTTAAAGCAGCCCTTCTTTTTTCCTGCTTCTGAGCAAATCTAAAAAAGGCACTTGCTTCAAAAGTGTATTAACTTTTCTGTACTAAACCTATGTAGTTCTCTGTAAAATGCTGACACCAAAAATGTATATTCATGCTATTTAACATTTTAGTTAGCACCACCACATGTAGTCCCCAAAACATTTAGATGTGGCAATAATGTTTATTTTAAAAAAAATCTGATACAAAGAGAACAACTTTAAATACACAATTGGGGAGTTATCATTTTAACTATATTTACTTTTAGTTTAGTTTAAATGCAAATTATATAAGATCAGATTTAGTTGTCTCCTAGGAGCAATAAGTACTTTGGAGAAAGTGTTTTCCAGCATGATGCTCAAAAGTAGGGTTACCCTTGGACAATAAAATGTTGTATATTCCTATTCTGAATGGACCTTGAAGAAGAATATGAAAAGTCTTTTCACAATGGATAAAAATATGTATCACAATTACCGTAATAAAATTTTGTAATATCCATTTCTGCTTCTATTCTATTTATTTTAAGACATTTATTACACTGAAACAATAAAAATAAATCTGGCTGAGATTTGTTTTGTGAAGGATTTTTTAAAATATATGAGCATCGTTTTATATTTTATATGTATTATTGCTACATAATTTTATATGTTGCTAAATTGCTAATGTTGCAGTTATTTTGAAAATTATATTCTTTGAAAAATTCAATGCTGCTGTTCTCCAGATTCAAGATGAATTCAAAATAAAAGAGGCAAACAATTTACATTTGTAAAATAAGATTTCAAACTTGCCTTGCCTGAGGCTGTCTTTCATAAGCACTTAAGCTGCGTTTTATACCTGTAACAAAAGTACTGAATGTATATGAGTCTGCAAATATTTTAAATTTATAAAATACTTTGCTTCTAACATTTGTACCCTACCATAGTAATTTTAAAAAATATATTCTGGCAATAAAAGACAACTTTAAATACAAAAAGTGTCAAGATGGAAACAGAAATAAGTACATTTTAATCACACTCGACAAAGCATAGGAATATTATATTTGCCAGCCATATAATTTGTTAGAGCGGTCATGGTGGCCTCGTGGTTAAGACACTGAGCTCGTCAAACGGAAGGTTGGCAGTTCAAGACCCAAGTACTATGTGACAGGGTGGCTCCTATTCTTGCTCCAGCTCCTGCCAACCTAGCAATTTGAAAGCATGCAAATGCGAGTAGATAAATAGGTACCACTTCTATAGGAATGTAACAGCTTTTCATGTGCCTTTGGCATACAGTCATGCCAGCCATACGACTGCAGAAGCATCTTTGGACAAAACCAGCTCCCTTGGCTAGGAAACGGAGATAAGCACCACCCCCTAGAGTCAGGCATGTTTGGACAGGGTAAACCTTTACCTTTAAATCTATCAGATGCAATAATTGTATTTAATTTCTTGTTACTGCATTTTTACTGTATATACTGTGGAATAAGAAAGCATACTATTTTCTTGTCTGCTATAAATTTTTTCTGGGTCGGAGCTCAAATCTACTTTCATTCAGAATGAAAAAGAAAAAAACATTCACATACTCTCCGTTCCAATCTTTCTCTTAGCCTTGTTATTAGGAATTAGCTTAGGAAAGAATAAATTACTTCACTCACCCAAAATATAGTCAAGAGAAGTATGCGGTGAGGGAAATTACAGGCTAAAAGATTTGACATGTGTAGGGTCCCTTCCTGCCAAACATGGTATATTATTTTTCTGATAAAAATGAAATCATAAGCAGTAAAGGTAGTCCTCGATTTATGACCATAATTGGCACCAGAATTTTCATCATTGAACAAGTGATGAATGTTAAATGAGTCATGCCTGATTTTCCAAACTTTTTATGATAGTTATGAAACAAATCACTGCAGTAGTTAAGTGAATTATGTGGCCTTTAAGAGAATCTGACTTCCCCCACTGACTTTGGTTGTTGGAAATGTGCTGGGAAGGTTCCAAATGGTAATTGCATGATCCCAGGACACTGCTAATATTGTAAATACATACTGGTTACCAAGCACTCTAATTTTGATCACATGACTGTGAGGCTGCTGCAACAGTTATATGTAAGTCACTTTTTCAGTGCTGCTGTAATTGTTGCTAAAGAAATGGTTGTAAGTCAAGGACTATCTGTATGTGCTTTAGGGATCTTATGTTTTCTTTTTTCTTATCATTTCCAGCATTAGCATGTAACATGAATAATAAATATCTGTTGTATTTTAACTGGAAAAATCTGAAAGGCTAGACATCTATTAATAAGGAAGTTTGGTTGAAGAGCAGTCAGATTGAAAAGTTTTTCACAGGGCATATATCCCTATTTATAATGTTATTTGAATCTTCTCAAAATAAATTAAGATTAAAAGCTCAAATCTTACAAATCCCCTACAAGAATTAATATCCCAAAAAGTATATAATTATATAGAAAAAAGATAGATTTAGATATAATGAGTAATCATGAATAGCTGAAGTCATAAAGCTTTCAATCTTCTTATGAATAAGTCAGGGATCAAATATAAGGGTTCTTGGATATTAATTTCATCTATAAGAATTTATTTCATACAATTATTCATTCTTGAAAAATATAACAGACAACAAGATAACAGATAACAATAAAGATACATATTAAATGTATCTTTACTATGGAGAATGTGTGATGAAGTTCAGATGATTAAAGGCCTGGAGACAAAAAACATATGAAGAATAATTGAAAGAATTGAGTATGGTCAGCCTAGAGAAAAGAAGGACTAGGGATGACATGATAGCAGTATTCCAGTATTTGAGGGGCTGCCACAAAGAAAAGGAGGTCAACTTATTCTCCAAAGCACCTGAAGGCAAGACAAGAAACAATGGATGGAAACTAATCAAGGAGAGAAGCAACCTGGAATTAAGGAGAAACTTCCTAACCGTCAAGACAATCAACCAGTGGAACAGCTTTTGCCTTCAGAAGTTGTAGGTGCTTCATCACTGGAGATTTTTAAGAAAAGACTGGACAGCCACCTATCTGAAATGGTATAGGGTCTTCTGCTTGAGCAAGGGTTGGACTAGAAGACCTCCAAGGTCCCTTCCAGCTCTATTCTGATTGATTGAAAGAGTCACTTATCTTAATGTTCAGCTTTCGTTTTTACAATACAGATCATGCCTTTTCAAACATAAAAATCCTTTAAATTTGATACTTATTCAGTTTATTTATGCCATTTTTAAAAAGACTGGAAATATGTAAATATTGCTTTCATATTTCACATTGCAGATCAGTTTATTTATAATTTGACATGCTTACAAGCATGTGCAAAAAACCTCTCTGAAGACAGCCCATGGGGAAAACTTTGCGACATAACATCTCCCAGCTTTACCTAAAGCAGATATAAGACCATGCTATCAAATGTGCATTAGTTAAATTTGGAGCTTTTTACACCACATTAATTTGATTATGGATGATTATTTAGCTAAATCCCTAATTTTTAAATCAACTTCTTCTTTTGTTTTTGGCTTGAGATTGTCTCATTTGGTCTTTCCAAATTTATTCTGAAACTGCAGGATCATCATTATGTTTTCATTTATGATCCATCTGTGCTATCTTATTACCTATTCAGATAATATAGTAAAGTTTTTGTCATTACTAATAGCTTCCAATTAACAATATCAACAATTCAAAAATATTATTAAAGGAACTTACCAAACGCTGACTCTTTAAGGGGACTTGAACTAGAACTGCTAGATTGATCTGAAATATCCAATTCATCATCTAATTCCGAGAAGACATCTTTGTAAAAAATAAAAGCAGAAATTAACCCTTCTCTGCAATTTTGATCAGGTATACTAAACATTTCTTTTTAACCTTACCTTTTTCTGTGTTTTCTAAAACACAGTTATCATCTGACAGGGTTTCATCTTTCTCTTCATCTTTTCCAGAAAACTGATGGAAGTTTTCAGATAGAATATCAGTATTTTCAGAAAATTCACTTTTTAAACTAGCTGTTCCACTACTACTGCTACTGAGACTTGACTTTTCATAACGTTCCTGCAAAATAATACAAACAATCCTTTAAGAAAATAAATAATTTGCTCTGACAGCACAAGGCTATGAAATTCACACTAAGTGGCATCCAAATTTCACAAATGTTCCTTAGATATTTCAGTTGTTAGAAATTATGGTAATCAAGCTTCTTTCTACCAGCTGGGCAAGACACTTTCATGAATAAATTTTTAAAGAAACAAATTTTAATAAGGATTATTATATAAAAACTATCAAATCATTATGAAAGAAATGGGTTGGCTCTATGTCAAATTCAAGGCCAGCTTATAGTAAATCAAGATTCAAATTTTGCCTCTCTTTGTCCTACTTGTTTGTGGCAATGGCAATGACCTTCCTACCACTCTCTTTGGACTGGGATGTACAGTTTCTATTTCTCATTTTTAAACACATTTCAAGCAGTTGGATATACTATATGACTTAGATCAGAAGTTCAGGAGGTGATGACTAGTTTTTTTTATTATAGTTGTGATGCTACCTGCCTTTAAAGAGGTGGTAATATACTCTCTCCTGAAGAAACCATCATTTATTTGACAATTTTTATCTATAGTATTCTCCAATCTTCTCTTTTAAAAAAAAGGTTGAGAAAATGATACAGATTGAATTCCATTCAATCCTAAAGGAAGCAGCTTTTCTAAATCCATTTAGAAAAGGCCATGGTTTTCCCAGTTGCAATGTATGGCTGAGAAAGTTAGACCATAAGAAAGGTTGAGAGCAAAAGAATTGAGGCCTTTGAACTATGGTGCTGGAAAAGACTCCTGCGAGTCCCCTGGACTGCAAGGCGGATCAAACTGGTCAATCCTAGAGGAGATCAACCCTGACTGCTCTTTAGAAGGCCAGATCCTAAAGTTGAAACTCAAGTACTTTGGCCACCTAATGAAAAGAAAGGACTCACTGGAGAAGGGCCTAATGCTGGGAAAGATTGAGGGCAATAGAAGAAGGGGACGACAGAGAATGAGGTGGCTAGATGGAGTCACTGAAGCAGTAGGCGTGAGCTTAAATGGACTCCAGAAGATGGCAGAGGACAGGAAGGCCTGGAGGAACGTTGTCCATGGGGTCGCGATGGGTCAGACACAACTTCGCAACTAACAACAAGTATATAGCTATTTGCTTGGTAATGTGGTACAAATTTTATAAATGTCAAGCATGAAAACAGGCTAATGCTATACTATATAAGCTCATTGACAACTTGGAACAAATAAGGGATAATGTAATGTAGTCTTGGTAACAAAATAATTATATGTTTACCTTACCTGAGATAAGACAGCAAGTTGATGGTGACATTTTATTGCATTCCTATTGGCCTCCATGAAATATCTCTGAGTACGCCTTCTTTCACGTTCCAATTTTTTTTCCAAGACAAGCTGGGAATTTGATAATCCATCTAAATACTTCATCACAACATCTGAAATCATTGAACTGACCTCTACTATATCAGGACGGGTCTCTGCATCAGGAGTCAAACATCTGTGGGAAAAAAATAATTGGTGATGGACCCTTTAACTTACAGTTATTTACTGTGTCTAAGTAGAAGCTTGTAAAACTAGATTATATGAAGAATTTAACTGAAATATATTAATTTTGTTTTATCTCAGAAGTTCTAATGCAGAGATAAAATGTGTAGCCCTAAGATATTGTTGCAGTACAAATTCCATAATCCCTTCCTACTCATGCAGTCATGTGGTCATTTTTGTGACCTTCCCTGATGTGTCCCCACAAGCAAGCCAGTATGGAAAGTTGCAAGATGCTCAAATAAGTTTCTCCCAACATCAGTCTTTCTTTGTTTGGATGCACCACACTGTCCTCCCCTCCTTTGCTAGTGCAAACCCTTTCGCTAACCTTCCTGTGCTCGCACACATTTATTGTGGGGATAAACTAGAAGGGCGATTTTAATTTTTAACAAGCAAAGCTTTCAACTTAATTCAGTCTGAAAAGTGAGAGACTCCCTTG